AGTGCGCTGAAAGAACGTGTTTTTTCATAAGTTTGGGTCAACGTTTGTGTTTCTCACCAATTTGTTGTTGACCGTTACTCAAGTTATGTTGTTGCGCGCTTAGGAACAACTAGGCTTTAGCTCATAGTCCCGGTTACATGGAGGATATCAAAATCTTGCTGGAACTCACGTAAAGAAATAATGAGTCTCGATTTGCTTTTCTTCTTTCTCGTACAAGTGACTAACAGTTCGTTTCGCTGTACACTCGAGCTTATGTTGCACAAAATACACGCTGCATTATGCAGTCCATTTCAACGTCAATATTGATAATTATGCCAATTTCCGTGGATAGATAGATAGATAAGTAAGCAGCCGAACAGTCAATAAATAGATTCAGTGCTAAAATATATTAACTTTTGTAGTGGTAAAGGTATTCCAATTCAGAAAATATCCAAGAGAGGTCAAGGTTTTGATCGGTCAAAACACAGATACACCACAATAAGTGCAGCAAGTCAGCGAACTCTCAACCAACCGATGATAGATTGAAGACGAATCAAAACAGGAAAAGTAATTTGTCAAATAATACTTACAATATGGGTAGGCAATAAAATAAAGTTTTTAGGATTATTATATCACATACGATATGTTTGCAAAATAAGTATATTTGTCTCAAAAGTTCATCCCATTCCAGCATGCATACTTTTACAGTTTCAAATGGGTTGTAATCTTTCCATTCACATTTATCTGGATGATGAAACGAGTCCCTGAAATTTCTGGTTAACCATCACGTAAAATGCGCTATTCCACCGATTTTGCAAGGGGACAGTATGCTCGGTAGTCATAGGGTGCGGCTTATACCGATTTTGATATTATCTGTGGTCTAGCTAAGCTATTTACTCCAATCCATCTAAACAGTTATCACTAGCTGACACCCCTTTCAACCCTAAGTTTGAATATCTGGTTACAACGTTGGTAAAATGCGTGGAAATTACATAGCATTAGACATAAAATGTAGTTCCGAGGAAGTGTCATCCAGCAAGCAAGAATGCATAGCAATTATACTTGCATTTTTCCTACGAGTCAGCTTTGTAATTTGTTTAGTATCCTGAGCTCTACGTTACCAATAGTAGACGTCGCCACATGTCACTATCGAGCACCATCTGACCTGATGATTCGTAAGGAAAACATGAGCAGAATCTTTTGCACTATTTACGAAAATCCTTTTCATGTACTGTATCAACTAAATTATTGCATCCAATATACCAAACTAAGAGTAAAAGGATCAGTTGTCGTAATTTCTTACCGTCAGATTATGTCACCCTAGCTTACGAATTTCGAGTTCAACAAAGTACAAGGAGGATTCAAGTCTCCTCCATGCTAAGTGGAGGCTGCGGCCCGAACTTCTGAGGATACCCCACGTCATCCCGGGACTAGGTTGTAACACTATACCTCACTGAGAGCCACATCAAGCAGAACCCAAAAGCAAAAATGAGCCATATTCAGGCATCACCACGTAAACGTCCATTTAATTACACAAAAGGGTAATAGTTAGCCAGCGCGCAAACGGATTCAGCCGTAATAAGGCCGTGCACAAAACCAATTCGTGTTCTAAGACCATCCAACATATCAATTCCAAGTCACTTTCAAGATTCTCCCCAGACACTAAAAAGCTTTGTTGATAAACCAAGCAAGTACTTCCTTGAGACTTATACGCTTCACTTTTATAGTGCCAAAATCTCCTTGGCTCGCAACATACCACGTGCGTCTGTATGATACCTAAGGTTTCCGCTCACGGCTCGTGTGCAACTTCAACTGGGTGCTACAGCAACTGCAGGCTAAGATAATACTAGTACGGAAAACAAAAGCTTGCAAAACAACTAAGAATACATCTACTGGCTAAGTACATGCATCAACCCATCCAGATAGTATGTTTTTAGGAACTTTCATTCATCGATGTCTAGATTGCTAATCATACCTTGCGTGAAGCACTGCATCATATCGTGTAACCTGTTCATAAAGTGTTGGAACTCTCAGGTGTTACAGAGGTCGAAGTATGTCAAACAAGGCCGTCAGCAGCGTTTCGCTGAACAGAACTAAAACTTTTATTGGCTGTTTACTGCGACATACGAATCCGCTTGAGTTATGGTTTACACAGATTTTACAGCGATTTGAAACTCATTAGCAGCTTTCGAAAACTGCTTCTCTGAAAATACCACACAGAGTGTTGGTATTTTTGTCTTCTTTTTGTAAAGGTGACCAACGGTACAAAAACCAGCACTTTATCAAACCGGTCAATAAAAGGACACTGCAATCAAGCGGGCTCAAGTTTACGGTGACAAAGCATTATAATCGTGTATCCATCTCTTGTCAAGCAACCCATGGTTTTAAATGAATCGTTGCCAAAAGATGCAGCTCTCGGTTTATCACACATTCAATCCGCTTAATAGCAGACAATGAATTCCCTACAGAAAATGACTTACAAGTTTTATCAACTGCAGAGATTACCTGCTCTCTGATAATACAACATTGTTCAGGGCCATATTTTTGGTGTTCTCCAAGATGGATAAATGCGTCTAACTTATGAGGCGGTAGAGAATTAGACTACACTTTTTTGCATTTAACGACTTTAGTGGTTCTCTGAAATGAGCCAGAGATTGGGGGACAACAAGAGGTTTTTCTTTGGTAATTGCGTAGCGCTAGTTTCGTTGATATTCTCAACATCATTTGTAAGTTCAAATGGAACTACGATTTATTCCTCCACCATAGTTATTTAAAGGCTCTCACTTGGTACTTGGAAAATGTATACTTTTGTACATCCGAGGTGTCTGTATGGTACCGGCAGTATATCCCTAACCGGTCAGGTTCGAAGCATTCCATCTTCAACAGCTCTGATAAGTAAAGTTTTGCGTTGTACCTTTACTTCCGTTGTTGCGCACTTTCTCTTCCTGCACTTTAGCAATACAACTGCAAATCTATTCTCGTGTTCTCTACCACTGTAAGGTACATTACAGTAATACGGTTACAAGAATATACCTTTTATTTGTTATGCCAGAATGGTGCGTGCAATCCTGGTTTGACAGTTCACAGTTCCTCCTTTTGTATTTTATTAGGTGCACTATTCAAGGCCTCAAATGGTCGATATAATTGACTTAAGCGCTCATACCGCCTAGCAATGAAGTCTGCTTGACTGATCATTAGCTTTTTTGGATCGTAAATGGTTTTGAGCAATTTCGAGTTGATATAACTGTTTGCTGGCCAAATTAAAATTTTTTGATGCCCACCATATAAAACTGAACGTATGGGTCTCATCGTATCTTTCTTAAAAGCCTGCAAAGGCACTAGGCATGGGAAGCTGGTGTTTTGGCTTCAATGCAGGCTCAGATAGCATCATTCCCACTCAAAGCAAAAGAGCCCGATGAAACTGAACTCACAAGGTACTCTATCCAGCTAGTTTCACAGATCATAACCAAATAACCGAAATATTACTATTTGTGATGCACGCTTTTTGAATTGAGCAAAGATTTGGATGAAAGCCTCTTGCATCAAGTATTTTATTTTCATGAAAGTCGCTGTCATTGCCTAACGTCAACTTTACAATTAACACACCGACTCGAACTAGCACCAGTTACAGACGGTCAACCATGCCGCCCCGCTGTACAACGTTAGCACCAAGCCGCGTTTCGGGTGCAATCGCCTTGAATTCCAAATTCCCTGGAGTGACATTATGGCCGCCTATTTAGTAGTAATCCGCTTGTACTCCGTATTTGCTTGGTTACGGCGGCAGACTAATACCTCAGAGGAATACGTTCTGTTCCCGCGAATTAGCTGACGAACTGACTATTTTCAATCTTGCTATGGTCAAGTGTACTTGGAGTATTAATAGCCCAAGACACTTGCTCAGTTGTTGTGATATTTGCCGAGCTGGGCAAATTGAATCCAACTTGATTGCTTCATTTCGGGTTTATTTTCCACCAGTTCCTCCTACGTAACTGTCCTCACTCGGGCAGTTTTGATGTCACCTGGAATGTTGATGAAACCTCCGTTATTCAGGCAGTGATTTTCCAATTATTTTTAAATTGCATTTCTGCAAATGTATGTGCATCATTTTGTTCAGTACAAGTGTTTGTACGCTTTATTCTATCCTGCCGTACATTTTGCAATTTAATCATCTCCCAGTGCTTGAACAGCATCCGCGAAATCATTTTTGTTGGTAACCGCGAGCCCCACTTACCAGTTCGTAATCTAACTGTTTATATGTTGGTTTATAAGCACTGGAGTAGAACCGCGGTAATGTTAGCACAGTTTATCCTCCCACTGCTCAGGATCCTTACAGAAAAAACCATGCGTTTATCTAGACATCATCGGCGCGCAAATGATTACATCTATTTTGGCAGTCAAATTCTCCACCTGATGTAGCAGATGGTATCATATTTCGGCTAATACCGTAAGGCTCCCACGAGACTTATTTCTTTCGCTGGGTCAAAATCGCATGGACTTCTCCAGTTAGCACACAACTTGTTATTCTGTTTCGGAGCTATCCATTTGGATCCTTCGTCGCCGCGTCAATCTGCACAGTCGGCAAATCTTGCGTCCCCATTTACAAACAAAATCATCCGACTCTCTGCACTTGGTCTTCTGGTTTGCTACCCATTCCATTTAATGGAAGAATGGTCGTCGTTTTGCCTAAATCAGTAGTTGGAGATTTTGCTGTTTCTTCTTTTCGATTTAGTCTCATGCTGTCCGAAACTGCTGAGCAGTCCTACCCATAACGTTTGAAGATGGCTTGGTGGTTTTCCAATGCACAAAGTTTTATGCTTCCATTAGTCTACAATTGCCTTAGTTCCAATTTTTAATGTGAATTGATTAGGCCGCTTGTGGTACATTGTGGACTGCTGTTATCTCGCGATTTATTTTTAGGAGTGTGTATGTCTCCGCTATCACACGAATTGGTTACACGACCATCAGCGACAAGCTGCAGGTAGCCAAAGCATCGGAAGCGTTCTCATGCAAAGGATTCAGCTAAGGGAAAGCGGAGAATGCATACAGAAGGAACCACATAATTAACAATGTGTAATCGATTAACGGCCTAAAATAATGACCAAGTATAAAGTAAGAGAAGGTCAACTATGATGTAGGAACTTGCCCTCTTTAGAATGTGTTTTACAAATGAGATCAGGTGAGGGCTGGCAAACTTCTCCGTTATGAGGTAGAGATGCGTTTTCATGGTTTTTTCTAAAACAAATATCATGATTACATTGGAAAAGTATCGGATTTGCGCGACGTTACACGTTTTCCGTAAGTGCATTTGAAAGTCCGAGCACCTAGAGAGTGTGAGACAGAAGATCCAGCCCTTCGTCTGAAGTCAGACATCGAATCGCGATTAGTGAACAAGTGGACTTGATAGACCAATTTTGTGACATACGAACCAATGCGAATTCGTCCCAATTCAAGAAGGTGCACATTGTTAAGTTTGTGTGTTGACTGGGATCTAAATACTTAGTGAAAAATTGGTTGAAAAATATCCTCAGTATCAACACTGATGCATCAATACCCTGTGTTCCGAGTGGCAGATCTAACTCATCAATGAGATTGGACCACCGCCCTTCATGGATACCAGAACGGACTGGCGTATGATATTGGTTCCTCATTCACGTACGGGTTTATGGGATGTTGTCGCAATGGAGCGTGTTCAAAAGCTGAAGCTTCTTGTTTTACTGGTGGTTTCCATTGTGGCTCATGCAAATCCACATACTGCGCATGGCGTCGAGACTCCTTAGGCTTTCGTCTTCCCTGTCTCCCTTCACGTCCACGCCGGCCGCGTCCCACCTTCCCAATGTCTTTGACCGGAATCCACCGATTTGGTCTTTCTTCAGACCATCTGGAACCCGGTGATTGCCAAATTTCACCAAGATTACTTTGCGATTCGCTTGAAGTGTGCCGTCGTTGTACATGTTGTTGATTTGGCTTCCATGCTGACATGCCCGGGGTTAGGTCTGAAACTCCATAAGGTTGTGCCTCCATACGTGTCGGTACATGGCGCCCGATTGCTGAAATTAGTTGCTGAGAATGCTCACCGCCATTGCTTATGCCAACAATGGATTTGGGCTGGTTTGTAGGTTTTATGTGCATCAATCTTAAATTGGTAACGTTTGGCACAATGCTTTCATTACGTGTACCAAGAACGCGATTTTCCAAGGGATGCACCCGTTGTTCACCATGCTTGTGTACTGTGTTTGGCGCATCCGAAAGTTCCGATGGAGCTGAACGCAAGATTTTCAGATTTCTTGTTGATACGGCATCGCCAAGTTCAGCTAAGTCAAGGGCAAGAGCCGAATTTTTTGGACAGAGTTGTGCTATTGGCTGGGTGCGAATTGTGTGGAGCGCCTTTCGAAATTCTTGTGAATCACGGTCCCACAATGCGAGAAAAGTGACCTGCAAAATTGATGAAAATGGGAAACCGTTGTAAGGCCGTTGTATGGAAATCGCCATAGTCAAGTAGTCAGTTTGCTGTCGAACATTTGAACGAAGAGTCCCCTTTAATTTTGAACAAACATCTTTCCGTCGAACGAGTGGGTGCGTGGCCAAACTTTACACCTAGCCTCATCATCGTTGGACTCTGCCAAATATTAAAAATAATGGCGTTCATGTAACGACCTTAGGGACAAAATTTAATATTAGTGGTTTTCTTGGAAGGCAAAATTACTTGTGCACACGCTAATTCTCTTGTTTATTGTCGCTTCTAATAGATAAGTGTAATGTGGAACTTGGATTAATTTTTCGATGGACATTCCTCATAGTCACACTCAGACAGCTAGTGCACATCCAAAACAACACTGGATGGGTTTTGACCTTTCTGGAAATCATCAACAATGCGCTTTCCATCTTCCTCCTGGATGGTAGAATTCCATGCCTTTATTACGCATCCGTGGTCAAGAACACTTGGCCCAAAGCGATGTGCAACTAGTTCCATGATTCAGAACTTAGGTGTAACATAGCTCCGTTACTTGGACCACAGATGGTGCAAGGATACAGGAAATTAGTTGTACAATCCAGTGCCAGCGACCAGCAACATTTAACAACTATAGGTTTCATATACTGTCATGGTGATTGAGGTGACCAATGCCCCATGTAAAACAGACCACAGTCAAAAATGGGATTGCTTGTCGCTAACCAGCGAAGCCGAGTACATTAAAAAGCAAACCAGTGGTAAGTGGTTATCACACTTATGGTTGATGTTGGACTAAGAGCTCGGTAGAAGCGCCGTAAAAATCTCAGCTCAAAGTTCCCACGTCCCCGGTTAGACTCCCCCTTAGATAATCTCTACCTAGGGATTGCGGATGATCATGAAGCCGGCCATGGAGCGCAGAGTTTGTAGTGGGTTACAAATGATCTTCAATTGATGCCCTCATCGATTTGGTTGGAATAAATATTTTAAGGAAGGCCTGAGTGAAATATTTTGTACCATAACTAACGAGGTAAATAATTATGTCAGTTAGTGACCTGTTACGGCTTACAGTGACAGTTGTTTACTTGTACACTTCGATGACTATTCATTAATATGCAGATGCTTTTACGCACAGCCATAAAGTTAAATAAAAGTGCGTCTAAAATTTTCAATATGCTCGTAAGAAACTTGATAATTCCCATTTAAGTTCCTTTTGAAGAGCAATTGCTTTCATTGTTTCATCTTCCGACTGTTACAATAATTCATACAGGCAAAACAAGGAAAATCGACCCAGTTAGGTTAAGTTATATGGATCACGTGAATGTTAGTCTCAGAGACGATAAAGCGAAATGCTCCTTTTGCTTTAGTATTACGGAGTTTGACCTACGGCAGTTGACTTCAATGTAAGAATCAAACGGCATTGTCGTTTAGTGAAAGACGGTATTAAAGCATCAGCGAATGGGTGTATCATCTCACTACCATACAGTAGGTAAGTTGGTCAACAAATGAATCTGATAGCAAGAACGCACTCTGTATACCTGGCCTCAGACTTAAATGGCTATGCACAATGAAACCCATCTGCTGGAGCACAGCTTATAGCTGCAGGCAAAAAGTGGGGCAAAGCAAGCGGAATTCACAGTTGACAGGACTTACCAAATAGGGCCACAGTTTGCGCTAACTGTATGAATGAGGGCGAGATCGGTCTAAACCAACCAAATTCATTCGGATCCTCCAGAAGCGTGTCTACACATTGGCCGAGCAATTAATCACGATAATCACTGTTTACTTAGCTTATTAGCATTTCGTTGACAGTAAACTCCATCCTAATCATAGAGACTAATAACTACGTACAGAATGCATCTCGCGAGTATTTGACAGACAGGTGCTCATTTTATATCAGCATGTTTTCAGGTCGCATTTTCTCATGACAAATTAGGCAGCATCATAAAATGACTGAGGGCAGAATGTCTTTAGTTCAGTTGTAAACACACCATAACCGATGACCAAGAACCTCATGAAAAGGTCGCGAGTTAGTCAGTCCTGCTTCCAGGATGATTAAACCCGAGAACGAAATGATTAAGGAAGAGGATTTACGATCAACTTTCTCCAACCTGCGAAATTCCTTGGATATAAGCAACGGTACTACTCACATTAGTGCCTGGAAAATGTTCATAGACCAACACAGTTATGGAGACATTTTTACTCCTACAACGGATCGCCACTGATCTACTGCCAGACCCTGAAAACCACCTTCTACTTGCCCCTTATCATTCTGTGCTGCGGTTGTGGTAACGCTATCACGGGTGATATGCGGAGTGTCAAGTCCCCATACTCCTATGTTCCTTTCGGGACCGTAGGTACGTTATTCCAAACATTTGGTAAAGGATTGTGCCCTATAGCAACCAGTTGTAGGACTGTTCCCTAATGGGTCTGGTCGTCCAAAATCTGCAGGTACATCGCAGTTTCACTTCCTGGCACCAATTTTCTTCCAGAATCCTGGAATAACTCTTGGCTTCTCTGAACTCGAAGGTAGGTAAAAATGTCC